ATAATCAATGTAATGAAACAAGGTATATGAATTGCTGAATGTGAAACTGATGGTGTGCCCTGTAAACTTTCACTTAATCCACAATAAAAACCTTAAATTTAAAAAAAAAAAAAAAATGGGCACAGGCCATGACCAGACAATCCACCAAGGAAGACATTTGGGCAGCCAACAACCTATGAAGAAATGTTCACAATCATTAGTCAGTTGTGAAATGCAAATCAAAATAACAGCTAGTTATCATCTCAAAACAGCATTAATAGTAAAGTTAAAAAAAAAAACAGAAAACAGGAAGTGCTGCTGAGGGTGTAGAGAGACTAAGGTCCTCCCATATTGTTGGTGGGACTGTAAAATGGTTCAACCACTATAATAAACAATATGGGGCTTCCTCAGAAAGCTGGAAATAGAAATACCATATGATCCTGCAATCCCTCTAGTTAGTATATAACATCCACAAAAAACAAGAGCCAGGACACAAATAGATATATGCACACCAATGTTCATCACAGCATTCTTCACAATAGCGAAAGGATGGAGACAGACTAAATGCCCATAAATGTAAAAATGGATAAACAAACTTTGGTATGTAAACACAATGTAATACTATGCAATGCTGAAGAATAATGACAAATCAGCATGCTTCATCAATTTAACCACATAGCATGGAAGAACCTTGAGGTCATTATGATGAGTGAAATTTAAGTCAATCACAAAAGGATATTATATGAGACCAGAATTGTAAAAACCAAGAAAACGTTTTCATGTTAAAAGAAACATTCTTTGATGGTTGTCAGGGGTGGAGGGAAGGAATAATACTTCACTGGCTAGAAGGCAGACACTGGGTGATGGGGAGAGCAATATACAAGAAGAGGGAGGTTGGCAGAAGAATAGTGAAGACACAGGGAGGTATGCAAGGGCTAAAGAGGATAGAGGTAAACAGTGTATATACACAACCTTGGAACAGCAGTGTTCTACAGGTCGATATCTGGACAGATACACAGGCTGAACAGATATGGGAGGAAGAGTGGGACTATACCCACAAATACATAAGGGTTTGACAGAGGATATTTGTAAGTGGCTATTTAACATTGCTGGCTGCAAACACACTTATGGCTGTGATGGACCATACAGTGGACAAAGTGATGAAAACTTCTTAGTTACTTTCAAACATCTTAAGGCAATGAGCTGCTGGGCCTGGCTCAGGACCATGGTCTCAGGTGACACCATGGTCAATTGGCATAACATAGTCCACAAAAGCAATGTTCTATATCTTACTTTGGTAGGGACTGGGCTCTTAAAAGCTCATGAGTAGTCATCTAAAGTGCAACTATTAGTCACTCTAAGAAGAGTGATGAGAATTGAGGATACTTGGAATCAATGAGTCCATTGGACTAATAGAACATGTGAACATCAGTATTGATGACTCTGAGACCAGAAGAATTATATGGTGCCTGGCTACCACTACCAACTGCTCTAAAATGGATCACATTAGAAGGTCCAAGAGAGAGAGACAGAAAATGTACAACAAACTCAAAATTAAAATAACAACAACAAACAATACTGTCTTACTGGTCAGAAAGAGACTGGAGGAACCCTAAAGTATAGCCCTCAACAACACTTCAGGTATGCTTCTGGTGAAATTTTCAACCAAGCAGTAGGTAAGTTTATAGGAGGGACAATAGCACTGGTAATGTGTGCTCACCATGGAATATTCAAACATTTAAAATCAAAAGGGCAGCATTTACCTAAGGACAAATTTGAGAAGGGATGGGAAGGTGGGTGGAATGGAAATAGGAACCACAGGGAGGAAGTGGGATAACCACTGTCTCATAGAGAGGATAACAACTATTGAGAATAAACAAAGTGTATTATTTTTTTACTGTAAAACTGATGACCTTGTCTGTAAACCTTCACTCAGTTCACAATAAAAAAAAATTTAAACAAAGAAGGGGTAATGCCTTGAACAAGGACCTGAAACATATTTCAACCACACACCTTTTGATATATCTGAGACAGGAAGTCCCTCACTACAAAGGAGAATTATAAAGAAGCAAGACACCTGTCTAAAAGTTTACAGGCCCTAGACTAGATAATTAACATGAACTATTGAAACCTGATGACTTTAAATAGCATGCATTCTCCCAAGATCTCACTTTGTCAGTAGACGCTACCAAATCAGCTGTTGGTGGCTGTGTACCGTGGATTTGGTTCCGACTCACATTGACCCCGTACAGAGTTTCTGAGGTTGTGAATCTTTATGGGAGCAGAAAGCCTCATCTTTCTTCCACGGAACAGCTGGTAGTTTTGAACTGCTAACCTTGCGGTTCACAGCCCGATTTGTAACCACTACTTTTGACTCATAGAGACTCTATGTACAATCAAACAAAACACTGTCCTGTGTTGTGCCTTCCTCATAATCTTTCCTATGTTTGAACCACTGTTGCAGCCACTGTGTTAATCCATCTCATTGAGGATCTTTCTCTTTCTTGATAACCCTCTACAAGTATATTGTGCTTCTCAGGGACTGTCCATCCTGATAACATGTCCAAAATACCTGAGATGAAGTTTCATATACCTTGGAGGTATATGAATATTATTCTATCGATAACAGGTTCCTTTTGGTGATGAATGTGACACAATGCCTCTTCGGTTTGTTGTTTCTGAAAGAGTAGTCATATTGAGAATGGCCAGTACCAGTCCATTTCAGCTCACTAATGTTTAGGATGGTGATCTTTACGTGTTCCATTTCATTTTTCATCACTTCCAATTTTCCTCGATTTAAACTGCATACATTCCACATTATGGTTATTAATAGATGTTTGCAGATTTTGCTTCTCATTTTGAGTCATGTCATCAGCAAATGAAGGTCCTGAATGTTTTGTCTCCATTTTGAAAAGGCAGCTCTTCCCCAGTAGTATTTTGAGTATGTTGCAACCTGAGGGACTCATCTTCTGGCACCATATCAAACAATGTTACCCTGCTCTTCATAAGGGTTTCAGTGGCTAATTTCTCAGGCGGTCTGCCTCTTACTTCTTCCTAGTTTTTCTAAATCTGGAAACTTCACTGAAATCTGTCAATCATGAGTTACCCTGCTGGTATTTGAAATACTAGTGGCATAGCTTCCAGCGTCACAGCAACAAAAAAGCCACCACAGTGCAACAACTTGACAGATAAGTGTAGCAAGACCTCACAGACAAGAAAATGACAGATCATGGTCAACAGATTATTTTATCAATTCAGTATGTAAAATATGTTGTTAAGCACATTGCAGTTACCACCATTTAGAGACTCAAAAGAATTACTGTTTTGATAACTTTTAACCTAAATGACTATATGTTACAAATTTTCTGGTCTTCCTTTTTTTTTTTTTTTTTAACTGAAATTACTTTTTTCTTTAATCCTAAATAAAAACCTTCACTAGTAACTTTATATAATTAAGTGACAACTTCTCTTTACCTGGTATGTTAGGCTGGATTCTCTAGAGAAGCAAAATCAGTGAAACATATATATGTTGTTGTTGTTGTTAAGTGCCGCTGAATTGGTTCTGACTCATAATGACCCTGTATAGGGTTTTCAAGGAGCAGTTTGAGCTGCAAGGTGTCACCTTGAGGTCCAGTGCTTATCCTTCAGTGACACACCAGGACAGAGAGGTTTATCTCAAGGAAATGTCTCCCACAGTTAAAGAGGGTGGTATATTCCAATTTTGTGAGTCAGGTGTCAGGCTGGAGACTTCTGACTCATATAGCTACAGGGGCTGATGAACCCAAGATCAGTGGGTCAGATAGCAGGCTACTGGCTGTGGACATGAATGAATCCAAGGTGGGTATGTAAGATGGTAAATTGCTGACTCACAGAGTACAGAGGGTAATGATTCTCAGGAATGGCAGTTCACTGTTCAAGTCCAAGGAACCGGATGTCAGATGATGATGTGCGCATGCAGGATCCAGATTCAGCCAAAAGCAACAAAGCTTGGCCAGAACAGCCATATATATTGGAAGCAGGCAACACACCTAAAGAAACCCCTTTTAAATTGACTGAGTGCTTATAGCAGATATTATCATGGAAGTAATAACATTATATCAGATCTCATCATAGGGAATGACTACTACATCATAACTACCAAACCACTGAGAATCATGGCTAGTCAACTGGCACATAACCTTAACCATCACAATAATGGTTACATGATACTTTATTTATTTACTTGAAAGTAATATTCATTGTCAAATTATGGAAAGTACACAAAATTATCAAGAAGAAAACATCAAAACCAAAAATTAATTTACCAGAGGCAGTTACTTAAAAGGAGCCCTCATGGTACAGTGCTTAAGCACTCAGCTGCTAACCAAAAGGTCCGTGGTTCAAACTCACCTGTGTTCTTTCTCTTAGGAAATACATGACATGTAAGTGAGCTGTGCATTTATTCTGTGTACACTTAAATTTTCACAAATACTACATGGAAATTACATACATGCTGAATGTAAGGTAGCTTTTGTTTAGTGTCCTTTTAATCCAGCACTGATTTTCAAAGAAAAAAATAAATTAAATTAAAATATTATGGCATTACATTATGCTAAAAGGTAGTTTAATCACTATTGTTTTAACTTACTTAGAGACTGCCATAGCTTTAACTTGTATTTTTCCATCAGGCAGAGTAATAGGTTTTGTATACTTAAGTGTATTATTTTCACCATAACCAATTTTCTTTAGAAATTCAGGTTTGCTGCCATCCAGGGTATAATATATGTTGACATCTGGGGTGTCTGAAAAATATAAAACAGGATTTCTGTTATTTTACATTGACATAGAAAGTCCCTGTAATACTTACAGGTAAGTTATTTAACTTTGTGTGTGTGCATGTGTATATAATTTATATTCTTTAAAAAATAATAACATTCTTTCTCTATTCTAGGCACTTTATATGAGTAGCTCATCTGTATAACCTTGTGAGGAAACTTCTATACTCTACCCATTTTATACATGAAGGAACTGGGTCCCAGAGGAGTTTAGAAACTTTGTTAATAACAGAAGTGTTGTGACCTGACCTCTGCTAGGTTGTATCCATAGCCTATGCTCTTGAATCACTATGTTTTTTTTTACCTCACCAACAAATGATTGATAAAAATAAAGCAGGGGCAATTTAAAAGACTACAACATTCATTTACAAAGCAGAAGCTAATATTCAGGATAAGAAAAGTTTTATATTTTGCTTGTTGTTTTTGTTGTTGTTGTCATTAGGTGCCATCAAGTCAGTACCGACTCATAGCGACACTTTGCACAACAGAACAAAACACTGCCCGGTCTTGGGCCAACCTCACAATAGTTGCCATGCTTGAGCCCACTAATGCTGCCACTTTACCAATCCATCTTGCTGGGGGTCTTCTTTTTCTCTGACCATCCACCTTACCAAACATGATATCCTTCTCCAGTGACTGGTCTCGGCTGACAATATGTCCCAAGTATGAGAGATGAAGTCTGGCCATCCTGGCCTCCAAGGAGCACTTTGGCTGTACTTCTTCCAACACAAAATCTGTTTGTTCTTTTGAGTGCTCATGGTATTTTCAATATTATCCTCCAACACCATAACTCAAATGTAACAATTTTTCTATGATCTTCCTAATTCACTTTCCAATTATCACAGCCATATGCGGTTATGGAAAATACCATGGCTTGGGTCAGGTGGACCTTAGTCCTCAAGCTGATATTTTTGCTCTTCAGCACTTTAAAAAGGTCTTGTGCAGCAGATTTGCCTAATGCATTTCATCGTTTGATTTCCTGGCTGCTGCTTCCATGAGTGCTGATGGTTGACCCGAGAAAAATGAAGTCTTTGACAACTTCAATCTTTCCCCCATTGATAAGAATGCTGTTTATTGGTCCAGTGGTGAAGAATTTTGTTTTCTTTACATTGAGATGCAATCCATACCAAAGGCTGGGCTCTTTGATCTTCATCAGTAAATGTTAAGTCCTCTTCACTTTCAGCAAGCAAAGTAGTATCAACTGCATATCGCAGGTTGTTAGTCTTCCTCCAATCTTGATGCCACATTTTTCTTCATAGAACCCAGCTTCTTGGCTTATTTGTTCAGCATACAGGCTGAGTAAGTATGGTGAAAGAATACAACCCAGGCGCACACCTCTCCTAATTTTAAACCATTCAGTCTTACCATGTTCTGTTCGAACAACTGTCTATGTACAGGTTCCTCATGAGCACAATTAAGTGTTCCAGAATTCTCATACTTCACAATGTTGCCCATAGCTTGTCATGATCCACAAAATCAAAGGCCTTTGCGTACTCAATAAAGCACAAGTAAACATCTTTCTGGTATTCTCTGCTTTCAGCCAAGATCCATCTGACATCAGCAATGATATCCCTCATCCCACATCCTCTTCTGAATCCAGCTTGAAACTCTGGAAATTCTCTCTCAATGTATGCTTGCAGCTGTTTCTGTATTACCTTTGTTGTTGTTGTTGTTGTCAGGTGCCATCGAGTCGGAACCGACTCATAGCGACTCCATGCACAGCAGAACGAAACAATGTTCGATCCTGGGCCAACCTCACCACCGCTGCCACCCCCGAGTCCATCAATGATGCCACCTGGCCGATCCATCTCGTTGGAGGTCTTCCTCTTTTTCTCTGACCCTCCACCCTACCCAGCATGACATCCTTCTCCAACGATTGTTTCCTCCGGACTACATGTCCAAAGTAGTATTACCTTTAGTAAAACTTTATTCTCATGGGACATCACAGATATTGTCCGATGATTTCTGCATTCTGTTGGGTCACCTCTCTTTGGAATGGGCACAAATATGGATATTTTCCAATCAATTGGTCAGATAATTGTCTTCCAAATTTCTTGGCATAGATGAGTGAGTACCTGCAGTGCCACCTCACTTTGTTGAAAGACTTCAATTTGTATTTCATCATTTCCTGGAACCTTGTTCTTTGCCAATTCCTTCAATGCACTTTGGACTTCCTTCAGTATCATTGGCTCTTGATTATGTGCTACCTCTTGAAATGGTTGAAAATTGACCTTTTGGTACAGTGACTCTTTGTATTCCTTCCATATACTTTTTATGTGTTCTGCATCATTCAGTAATTTGCTCAGAGATTTCTTCAAAAATGCATGTCAACTCTTGGGCCCACAGTCAGTGACATAGCCACAGAGGACTAGAGTGGAGAGTGAAAAGTCCAGCTGAAGAGAGGGCATATGCATAAGAACATCCACACTTGCAGATAATACACACTTGACCTGGCTTCAATGGCTAGATGATCAGAGCTCAACTAGAAGAAGAAAGAAGAGGAAAAAAAAAAAGAAAGTAATCTGATACAATTTGATGAAATGGACTCTACACCTATGGATGCAGTAGCTCAAAAGAGGGAATAAATCTTTACAGCGAGGATCATTCCCACCCCCTCCATACACAGAGTAGACAGGAATGGGCAACTTGGACATTGGCTACTCAAAATGGGGGTGGTGGTGGTGTACAAAGGCAAGAAGTGACTGACTTACAAGCTTTCAAGAGAGAACCTAGATCCAGAGTGCGTGAGGAAGGTAGAATTTCCACTGAGTAGTATCCAATCTGTCTGGGCGGGGCTGATGAAAGGAGATGGGGATAGGGATAGGTATTTTGTGGTAAACTGTTATCAGGGCTGACTGCAAGGGTTGGAAATGTAAAGGTGGACGTTTTGTAGCAAAAGGAGGGGAGTGATTGACTATGCAGTCCAGGATCTGAGGTCCCTGGAGCCATCACGGGAGAAGAGCTGATTGCGAGACCCTACCCAGAGAAACAGTGATGCCAGAGATGGAGGCAGAGACAATGACGTGGAGAGATGTAGTGGCTGGGGACTCTAGACCCAGAGAGGGAGAGGAACTGTGTGCTAGTGACCGGGGTGGGGGTGGGAGGGAAGCAGGCTTGCAGGTTGATGATGCATTGAGGGGATTGGAACCATGGCAATGAAACAATATATGATAGGATGTAAACTATCCCATGTAAACTATAACATAATTCACAATAAAACATTAAAAAAAAAAAACAAAAAACACGTCGAGGCTTGAATTTTTTCTTTGCATTTTTCGTTGCAATATTTGACACTGTCTTCTCAAGTTAATCTTTGGAATTTTCTGTTCAGCTCTTGTACCTCCTCATTTCTTCCATTTGCTTTAGCATCTCTGTGCTGGAGAACAAGGTTCAGAATCTCTTCTGACATCCATTTTGATCTTTTCCTTCTTTCTTATCTTCTTAAGGACTTTGCACTTTCTTTCTATATGATGTTCTTGATGTCATCCCACAACTCTTCTGGTCTTCAGTGTTTAGTGCTTAATGTATCAAGTCTGTTCTTCAGATGATTTCTAAATTCAGATGGGATATATTCAAGGTCATAGTTTGGCTCTCATGGACTTGTTTTCATTTTCTTCAGCTTCAGTCTGGATTTGCATATGAGCAATTGATGGTCTGTTTCACAGTCTACCCCTGGCCTTGTTTTGGCTGATGATATGGAGCTTTTCCACTGTCTTCTTTCCACAGATGTAGTCAATTTGATTTCACTGTATTTCACCTGGTAAGGTCCACGTATATGATCATCTCTTATGCTGTCTAAGGAAGGTATTTGAGATGAACAAATCATTGGTTTTGCAGAATTCTATCATGTGATCTCCAGCATCATTGTTATCACCAAAGTCATAATTTCCAACTACAGATCCTTTCTCTTTGTTTCCAACCTTTGCATTCCAATCACCAGTGATTATCAATATATCTTGATTGCATGTTTGATCAATTTCAGATTGAAGAAATTGGTATAATTCTTCTATTTCATCCTCATTGGCTTTAGTGATTGGTACATAAATTTAAATAATAGTGGTGTTAATTGGTTTTCCTTGTAGTTGCATGGATAATGTCTTATCAGTGTTGTACCTCATGATAGATCCTGATATGTTCTTTTTGACAATGAATGCAATACCATTCCTCTTCAATTTGTCATTCCCGGCATAGTAAGCTATGTGGTTGTCAGATTCAAAATGTCTATTACCAGTCCATTTCAGCTCAGTAATGTCTAAGATATCGATGTTTATGTGTTCCATTTCATTTTTGACAATTTCCAATGTTCCTAGATTCCTAAGTCATACATTCCATGTTCTGATTATTAATGGATGGATACAGCTGTTTCTCTTCATTTTGAATTGTGCCCCATCTGCAAATGAAGGCCCCGTGGGCTTTTCTCCCATGGGCTTTTTACTCCATTCACATCATCATGGTCAACTCTATTTGAGGAGCAGCTCTTCCCCAGTCTCATTTTGAGTGCCTTCCCACCTAAAGGGCTTATTTTCCGGCACTATATCTGACAGTGTTTCTCTACTATTCATAAGGTTTACATTGACTAAATATTCAGAAGTAGTCTCCTTCTTGCTAGTCTGTCTTAATCTGGAAGCTCACCTGAAACCTGTCCATTGTGGGTGACCCTGCTGGTATTTGAAGTGCCCGTGGCATAGCTTCCAGAATCACAGCAACTCACAAGCCAACACAGTACAACAAACTGACAGACGAGTGGTGGATATTCTATTTAGCCTTGTTAAAAGACTCCTACAAACTTTTTTGAAACATCTTAAAAGATAATATAAATGCATATAACACCAGCTGCACAGAAGCAACCTGTGGTTTCTTCAGTATCCCTAATCATGTACCAGCATATTCAAGGGGGCTTCAAAAAATTTGTGGAAAAATTACACTCTCTTTTAATTCCATTCTCCTACAAACTTTTGAAGCCCTCT